CGGTCGACATGGTCGATCGCTTCAAGGCAGAGAATACCAAGAATATAATGTAACAAGTCTATGTTTTAAGTGTACTCAACTCAACTGTATTTATTGGGCACTTTAAAACAACCACCGTTGCATACAAAGCAAAGTGCTGTACAATATAATATATACAACAAGAATAAATAAAACAATACATTAATAATGAAGACAGTAGAAAGCACAAAACAGTCAAACTAAGATCAAGTCTGAGTCAAAAGCCAAAGAATACAAGTCAGCGCTCTGTGAACACGTATGCAAATTTAGCCCCACCGTGATCATTGTATCCTTCCTGCCAACAAATTCGGGAAAGTACACTTATGTCAAATAAGATAAGTTGACTGTGTGATTGGTTTTTGGGCGACATTGCATTGTGCGTAACGATTCCTGGGGGAAAGGTGCAAAGTGCTTTCCAGCTTGGAAAAAGAGGCAAATCTTTGGGGAATTATGCGGGACAAACACCCGCGGCCCTCCCCCGTTTTTTTTTTTTCTGGAACTGCAGGGAGCGTTCACTGACAAGTCGCGTGACCCCCATAAAGCGCCATCTAAAGCCTCCCCCTCCCTTGTCCAAAATGTCTTGCTGTAAGGGCCCCTGCTCCAGAGTGGCTGCCGCCGTGTCCAAAAGTTTCCCCAAGTCCGCATTTCTATTTTCAAATGCTCCTTTTTTTTTTTGACCTGCGTAAAAGATGCGCAATGGGCCGCAAGTGAAGTCGACTTTCCCAAGCCAGCTCTCCTTTCAAGGAGCAGTGTGGATAATCGCGAGGCGGAGGACCGAGGACAAGGGGCGGCCCACAATTCTCCTCGGTTGCCCCCCCCCCCACCACACCTCACACCCAAGTATACCCGCAACCCCCTCCGAGCTGCCTGGCGTCAAGACAACAAGTGATGAAGCTCAGTACCCGATGAATAGCAGAATTCGCTTGCCCAAAGTCGGCTGTGTAATAGTTTCATGCAGACTATTTGCCTCGCAGCCATAAATATTGTCTCAAACGGTCGTGTCATGCGAGCAAATGGCAGGTGTGGCACATGGCAGAGCTAAATCGCGTCCGTGGCGGCATGTCGAAAATTACAAAATTACCACGGTGCTGCCTTCGACCTGTTGGCGTAAAACTCCGAAATAAAAGCGTCAATGCACGACTAAGCAGAACCAGAATCGTGGCCAATTATGTTTCACTTTTGGGGGTCAACTCTTTTGTTTTACTCCACGATGCCTTTGCTCCTTTTCGTGTTGATTAAGTGGACTTTTTAAAATTTCGAATAGGCAACATGCAAAAGCAAAATAAAACCAAAACCAAACTACAATAAATTGTTCCCAATGGAAACACCGTAAGGCACAAGTGTCAAACTCAAGGCCCGGGGGCCAGATCAGGCCCGCCACATCATTTTATGTGGCCCGCGAAAGCAAATCAAAGATGTCAACTTTCATGATGCTTGCTAAAATCACTACCAAAATTTCCAATTCTCATTTGAAATAAATAAGGGTGATACTATAAGCATTTTCGTGTTACCAAACCCCTCATTATAGTAACTTAAATAATAGATGAATAAACCATTATTCTTGGCTTCTTTATATGGTTTCAATCATAACGGCCCTCCAAGGGAAACTGTAACTAAAATCTGGCCCGCGACAAAAATGAGTTTGACCCCCCTGCCGTAAGGCTTTACTAGGAAGAAGATAAAATTTAAATCCAGGCCCTTTACAATTTGCAATTGGCCACTTTGCTCAATCCGAAATATGCAGCCATATTTGTCCGAAAGAACAAACATGAGTGTGTTGAATTTACTCCATTTTACTTTGACAAGTTTATGCCCAAAAAAAAAAATTAATGAGATGTAAAGTCTAAAAAAAAGTGGATCTGCATCAAGATGATTTTATTTCGTGCAACCATGTAACGAAATAAACTTGAATAAATTCAACCCCCCCAAAAAATGAACAAAAAGGTGTCTTCCCTGTGTTGGTATGTGCTTGTTGTTGGCGGCCAAATGACAGCAGTGCTTGGTCATTTAAACGTCTTAGGGGATGGGGGCTCTTTGCATTGAGATGTTAAGTGGGTGTGTCTATATAAACCCGCGCGTGGTCCACTTTCGCTTTTTGGCTGCTGTGAGGGAAAGAAATTCGCTTCGAGAGACAGAGACAGAAAGAGAGAGAGAAAAAAAAGGGGGTGAGGGGAAAAAAAACAGAATGGTGGCCACTATTGACTGTGTGGACAAGTCCGACTCAATCACTGCAAGTAAGGTACGTCTAAAGAAAAAACTTTGTGACGGTATTCATAAAGGCGGAGTTCAGTGAAATGTATTTATGATGTTATCTCAATTATCCAGGTCTCCAAACCATTGATGGAGAAGAAACGAAGGGCCCGTATTAACAAGTGTTTGGACCAGTTGAAATGCCTTCTGGAGAGCCACTATAGTAGCACTGTAAGCATAAACGAATTCATCTAGCTCTCATTTAGTAAACAGCCATTGGGCAGTCCAAAAGTTCAAAATACTCAAAAGATTTTATCATCAGAATTGAAAAAAAAATCCTCAACACTGTTCATTGTTTTTAATGTTCCGGCAAATGTACAATGTCCTATCCTTCAAACTAATAAGTCATTTCTAACTATCTCTATATATATAATTATAGTATTAAAATGATACTAATAATGAAAATAAACAAATAAAAGATATCGTAAAGGCCACAATGTAATTTTAGAATTTTAATTGTGATGCACGTTTCCCTGAAATGTATTGAAAGATGTGCGTTTTGACTGTAACGAATTCGATTTTGCTTGCACACGCAGATTCGGAAGCGCAAACTGGAGAAGGCGGACATCTTGGAGCTCACCGTGAGACATTTGAAGCACCTTCAGAAAAACTCTCCCACCTGTAAGTCTGCACACATCCACTTTCACTTTTGCCCCCATCTAACCTGACTGACGCATTGCTCTTGTTCGCAGCTGCTTCCACGCGTGGGGAACTTTCCGATTACCAGAAAGGCTACCACAGCTGTCTGGCTAATTTCCAACACTACTTGCTGATGGCTGACACGGTGAACGACCGACAGCGCCTCAAGATGGCGCCGTTGAGCTGCAAACCGCTGCACATCTGCAGGACCACGGACAGCGATGTAGCCCACGCGGAAACGCGAGAAACGGCGTGGAGAGCAGAGAACGACAAGGCGAGCTCTCCAAGGACCCACGACGCGTCTCACTTTCACTCAAGTGAAGACACCACCCAGAAAGGGTCCACGCGGTGTGGGTCGGTCGCAGCCCCGACCACAGAAGCCCTGGATAAACGAGCCACGGTCAAGAAACTTCACCCTAAAAGTCCCAGTGAAGTTGGCAGCCCCCGTCACATTATGTGGAGACCTTGGTAGGGACCCTAAAAGCTTCGCCTTTTCATAGAAACGTTGTGCGCTTCTATTTTCTGAATAAAAATGACAATAATAAGACTCCGTTCTTGCATATTGCAATATCGTCAATGGCATGTACACCGTTCGCCCAAAGAGAGCTATTGGTCAATTTTTATTACTTTTTTTTTTTTTTTTTTACAATTTCCTTTTTTGGGGCGGTGGGAGTGTTCAGCCTATACGCTAAATAAAATACGTAGGTTAGCCTTATGATTAGCAGTTAAAATGACTACATCAACCGAGAAGCAAGTGTAAGTTGAGAGGTTCGTAGTTTTTCTGTGGATAGCTCTACTTTAAAAATGGGCAAAAGGAGAGATGGAATCCTTTGAAGGCAGTTTTATTTTCCCAACGTCTGCACCTCCGAACGAACGAACAAGAACACGCCTCCTTCCCGGAAACACCAAACACTTCCTGGTTTCCTTAACCAATCAGATAATATCAACATAAACTTGTTTAAGCAATTATTAAACAGAATATAACCTAGGTCACTGTAACACAAAAGAACATAATGCTCGAATATAAAATGAAAATAATTAATAATTTAACATAAGCTTACACAAGCAACAAAAAAAACGTAGGTTAGCCTGATGATTAGCGGTTTAAATGATGACATCAACCCGGAAGCAAGCAAAAAAAAAAAAAAAAAAAAGAAATCAAATTGTAGCGTACATGAGACTGTATGAAAAATGAATGTCCTTCAGCGGTGTTTCATACTCTCTATGAAGTCTTCTCTAACATTGTGCGAAGGATCTGTTCGCCTCGCCTTCCCAAAAGTTTCTCACCCTGGGAGGAGCTAGGTCAGATGATGCGATTCACATCAGACTGGACTCAGCGGAGCGCATTTTAAGAGGCTAGACGTGCTCCGGGCCCGGCACGGAAGCCATACAACAAACACATTGCTCACTCGTGTCCAAATTCCCGCTTTTCTGTCAATGATCGATTTATTTTCATCGAGCACAAAATATTTCTTTTGTGAAAGACGTTTTGGAATGTTTCGACTCAACCGCTGGAAAGGTGACGATTTATCCATTTAAAAGTCAGCTAGCAGAGGATGGTTTCGATCCATCGACCTCTGGGTTATGGGCCCAGCACGCTTCCGCTGCGCCACTCTGCTGGTACTACATAAATGCCCTAAAGTTCAATTGAAATGCTCAAACCTCTACCTTCAAAACCCACCCTGGCTCGAAACCCCCAACCGAAACGTTATCTTTTAAACACGAACGAACATGGGCTTGAACCCCTATTTTTAAACTGCACTCTCTGCATAAAGCCCTACTTTTTACCCCTAAATTGGAACTAAAGCTTTAATTTAAATCCAAAACCCTGTTTGAAAGCCTAACTTAAAATCTTAACCATCTGTCTTGAAAAGTTAATGTGAAAACTGAAACCCAGACCTGCAGCCCTCTTTTCTAAACTCTAATCCACGTTTGAAACCCAAACCTGAGCTCCAATTTAAACCCAAAAATATATCAGTTTGAAACCTTAATCCTTGTCTTGGCACCCCAACTCTGCATTGCAAACCTGATTTTGTTGCTATTCCTGCTGAAAAGAGATTAAAGGGGGGAAAAAAAGCACACACGCACTTGAATAATCTTTTGCATTTACTCAGTCACAACCTTTTTTTTTCCAAACAAAGTCATCTAAGAACTCATAACAATTAAACATCATTCATCGACTCGTGAATTTTGGAATATGTTACAAAATGATATATTCAGATTTGTAAATACAATAGAAAGTCAACGGCTTCTGAAAACGGGGATGTGATGAGAACGCAATGATGAACGTGCACTAATAGGGAAGAAAACATTGGATAAGAAGACAATAAGATGGACAAACGTGCAACTATTGGATAACGGTTCCACGTAACCCTTGATATTCATTCCTCATTTGCATATGCTGTTGTGCAATCTCTTTGCCATCCGTCATTTTCATTGCTAAATTTTTTTATTTTTGTCATCGATGACGATGCCCGAGCAATTTTGAGTGCAATGCTGCTATGCCGAGTCAGCCTGCAGTAGTAGAACCGTGCTGTTGGACGCTTTTTTTTTTTTCCAAACCTTTCACATGGAAAGGAATTAATGAATGTTGGCTTCAGCTTTGTCAGAAGTAATTTGGCGGCCTCACATTTGATGGTAATCCACGGCAGAGGTTGGGACCGCCACTCTAAACTTGAAAAATGGTCTTGTACAGTTTGGGAACAAGTTGTACATTGTAACCAAACATAAATATGGAGAATGTATTATGTGAGTCGGAAAGAATCCATCGGGAAACAAAAGCTGCTCTACAGTAATTGGTGGAAATTTTAAAAAAGTGTCAAGGAAAAAAAAATGCATATAATCAGCATTTTACAGGGAGCAACATCAAAGAGGAAAAAGAAGACGTCTAGAAAAAAATCCACTTGTGCTGGAGCAAAATAAACGTCGATGAAGCTTCTGGAAAGTGAAAGGTGAAGAGCCACCGTTCCACAATGATGACATGAAGGGGAGATGGATAGTTAACCCTCCTGTTATATTCTTCAAAGGTTTAAAACTATCAACAAATTTTCCTTTGAAACATATATATTTTTTAAATAGTCAATTAAATGTCAAACACTAATTTCAACTGTCAGTTACCTTGGCCCAGATTTCACATTGAGCAAGCAGATTTTTTTTTTTTTTGTGGCTTGGGACGTGATCATTATTATTGTGCCGCTGATACTTTTTTTGAAAAATTGAAACCCAAGATGCAAACTGAAGCGTGATGTTTGGCATACAGCTCCATCGCGTGCAATTTACATAATAACCCGCATTACAAAAAGAAACCATAACTATTGTGACACTATCAAAAGAAGTTGGAACCCGCCCCGCAGCCCTACGACAGAAAGAACATACAGTATGTCAAAATATGAGCTTACATTTATATTAACAGACATGTTTCACTATAAATTACAAGAGGTACACATGTGCTGTTAAAAATGACCTGCTTTTAGAATACAACTATGTACCGCTGGTATTCTGTCGAAACACGATAAGCGAGAAGGACACTTAATTCTGATTCATCCATCCCAGCAATGCATAGTGACAAGCAGAAACTTGAAGTGCTCTTCCACGAGCTAGCAAGAGGTACAGTCAACCTGCGTAACCGACCATTGCCTTTTAAACAACAGAATAAGTCATGACTTCCTGTTTGTACATCACCTTTGTGTTCATTAGAATAGGCCCAAATTTCACACTCGGTACATACATTTGTGAGTAAATTGGGACAAGACTCTTCAGTATTTTTCTGGCACAATTTTTGTTGGTTGTGGCATAAGATTATTCTGACAGCCCCTCAAAAAATAAACAAATGGTGTGTTGTGCTTCCTAACCCACTAGCCGAGCAGCTGTGAAGTTTCAGAAGATTGGGATCCTATTACCCAAGGTTGGGTTAATTTTTTTGACCCAGCAGGTCAGGTTGAAGATTGGATTTGGCCGAGCTGAAGAGTTGAATCTGGTCGTGGCTTTTGGTGTACTCAAGTTGAAGTATTTTTTTTTTAAATAAATATTCTTAAATGACAGTGGCAGCGGGGTGGATCAGTGGGTAACGCCGCTGACTTTGAACACAAGGAGGCAGATTCAAATTCTCGTCAGGGCAGATGGCCCATTCCCAGAAAATAGTTGGGTTGTGAACAGAAGAGTACTGTATTCGGTGTTTAAAAAAACAAAAAAGCCCCATCAAACTGACAGGGAGAAGTCACTGCTTCTTTGAAAATATTAGTAATACATTTATTATTTTAAACCACAGCTGTACTGATAAACTGGTGACTCATTTCTTGGTAGCTATAATTCATCCGTGTGGGTCGTTTTTACTTACCCCCCCTTCATTGGATCAAAATCTTGACCCAACGTGCAGGTAGGTGTCAATGCAGTCAAAAACAAAAACAAACAAAACAAACAGCATGAGTTAAGTCGCTTTTGGACACTTTGGGGTTCGCTATTGCAGCCATTTTGGGTTATTTTCAACACAGTGACTTTAAAAGTGATTGTAAAATGGGTGAAACACAAGGTGACTTGCCTCTTGTCGTCTACATTGTTAAGTAACAGTGCACAGCGACTTTCAGAATAGCCCGTATAAATCTTACGTGCTGGAGACTCATTCATTTCATTCCTGGGAGCAAGAAATTGAATGTGTTTTTTGGAAATTGGTTTTGTTGAGGTTTAAGCATGCGGCCGGTCACCTTGACGAATGAACATTTTTGGTGGACCATAGAAACGGACCTAACAGGAGGGTTAAGCAGCGGATGCACACATTTCAAAAAAGCAGGGAAGGCTTGAGTACGTGATGAAGAAAAAAAAAAGTATCAGAATTTAGAGGGGAAATGTTAATGTTGTTGTTGTTTCAGGAAGCGGAACCAACAGAATCCGAGTGAAATGTGATATATCCCGATGAGGATGCCGAGGGTGAGCTTACAAAACTGTTTGTGCCTCCTTTACTCTCCCCCAAGCTCGCCTGCTTGTGCTGGCCCCAGTCGGCTGCCGAAACCCCCGCCTTGGACCTGCAAGAAGGTGGGGGAGTCTGTCGGGTGCCCCCCACAGGCGAGCCCACCCCCCGACCACCTTTGCCGCAGCTCCCGTGACCGCCGGTCCCGTCGGGTGAGCTCATCGCGGCGCTTTTGTGTTCCGAGAAGCGCCGGAGCGCTTGAGGCTCCCGTTCAAAGTCGGTGAGTGCAAAGTGAGGCAGGAGGACGGCGTGGCGCTCGTACACGCTGGGGATGAGGGCGACGGTGCAGGACGCGCGCCGCGGGCTCTTCCTGGGGCTTGGCAGCGGCGTCTCGTCGATAAAGTTGATGACCTCGTCGCGGCTGAAGCAGCGCGGGTCGTCGTCGCGGTAGTCGTAGGCGCCGCACGCCACGCGCGGCAGGTGCTTGAGGGAGTGCGTGTCCTCAGAGCGCCGCCGCTTGCGATGGAGGTGCCGGTGGTGATGATGGTGGCTCTCCTCGTGGTAGGAGACCAGGCTGTTCCTGCGCCTCTCGCGGCGCGGCAAGGTGGAGCTGTAGCGGCCACTCACTATCATGTCCTCGCTGGAGCCCCACCGGTGAAGGTAGGAGGGGGGGATCCGGTCGATGGTCCACATGTCGGTTTCGTCGTGGGAGTATCTTCTTGTAGGGGGCACCTGGAGGAAAGACATAAGGGGGGGAAAAAACCCCAAACAAGTGCCCCGCTCGTGAGTGCATGCGTGGTCACGGGCTGTCCACGTCAAGACACAACAGAAAAGGCATTTCTTATGGAAAGACGTTCGCGTACGGGTGTCAAACTCGTTTTTGTCGCGGGCCACGTCGGAGCGACGGTTTTCTTTCGACGGGCCGTTATGAACCCAAATAAACGTACGATGGCCTCATATTACATCCACGCAACAAATCGATGAATTAACTACTTTTGAAATCGGAGGCCGGCAAGATCTGTTTGTTCAAATACGTTGACATTCATTTCTTGTCAAACAAAAAAATGCCTGCGATGTCTCCATGTTTTCAAAACACAGGACAATTTGCAAATTTGGTATTTTGTCAAGAAACATGAAGCTGATGCAGATCATTTGCTTTTGTGGGCCACAAAAAAAAATGTGGCGGGCCAGATCTGGCCCCCGGGCCCCAAGTTTGACACCAGTCTGTTCGCACATTTATTCCATAGCCTTGATATCCCAGGTAAGGTCCGTGTGCTACTAGCACAAACATACTAGTTGAACAATTGATTTTTTTTTTTTTCCACTGCGACTTTTAATCTATATGGTACAGATGGATATCATTGATACATGTATTCAATATTCATCTTTTAAGGTCCTCGTACTAGAACACTCCTTGTCCATACAAGTAACACAATTCAGTGCACTAGTAGAACGATTTGGGTGCAGACTTGAGTAAATTGGCTGTGCTTTCCACTACTCGTACCATTTAGGAAGGTCCGTGTGGTCGTTTGCACTTGTCCTCACGCTAGTAGCACACTCGTAGAATGACTACGTTTCACCCGTCGAGTGACTGTGGAGTTTTTTGTTTTTTTTTTCCCCTCCCATCGCGAGTGCCACGTTTGGCCTACTAGTACAACCTTGAGCTGGATATGAAGAATAGAGAATAAATGCATTGAAAAAATTTTTAAACATCCTTGATATCTAGCTGAAGTACTCACATTGTCCACACTAGTCAGGTGATTCGGTAAGGTACTAGTAGCGCTCTTTTTCCTATTGCCTTCTATTACTGTATGACATTTCTGCTGACTAGTAGGACAACTAGTGTCCGTGCTACTCGTGAGGCAAAACAACGCATTCGCTGACATCTCCGTGCCACAATTCAAGTGCTAAATCTTAAGTAGCAAAATTTGATGTCGCAAAGTGGATCAGAAGCACCCAGTTGTCCACTCGTGCGCCGTTTTGCTTCATGAGTAGCATGTGGCTTTCCTGCCCGTACGTTAAAAATTGTCTTACAAGTGTGCAGAAATATCAAAGCAGGAGCTGAAGGCGGAAGCGGCAAAAAAACATTTCCAAGCCTGTCGTTTGCCAGGTTATATTCGAGCCAGATATCAAGGTTATCAAATAAATGCTCAAACTGCTTTCCATGTGTTGCGCGCGGTTGCGTCATAACCGCAACACACCTCCTCTTGCTCATAAATCACATGATATACTTGTTTGGATCTCATTGTCACAACACACCGTTTTATTATCATTTCTTATCGTTTTCCCCAACCCTGACCCGAACGTGCAGTGCAACGATGACGATAAGTTTCCTGATCAGTTACTCTCTCTACACTACTTACAAAAAAAAAAAACATTTGGGGTCTTTTTGTTGAAATTTCAGGATGCACCTAAAATTCCAACCTTTGCTTGACCATCCTTTAACTTTTGATTGCACATGCCCAACTCAAGAATGCAGGACTTTTATGCACAAATGATGTCACTCACACTGTAAGTTTATCAAGTTGGATAGAACAACAAACTAAGAATGCCCTCAAAGCATGACTATCAATCTTATCGACATACAGTGTGTACACGTGCAGACATTGCATCTTAATGGCCATATGAGAGGATGGATGAGGATGTCATTCACCCCAAATAACCTTCTGCCATCCATTCGTGTCCTTTACTTCCTTCTCATGCCAACTGAACGGCGTTTGCTGTTGCATGAGAGAGTAAGATGAATTTGGTGTTCCATCAGCGTAACTCCAGCCACTCATTATTCCCTTGAAAAGGCCTCATATCGGCTAATGTAAATCGACCAGCCTATGAATTGGTCTTTTTTATGATGCCGTTTGGACATTTTGGACAGGAAGACCGCACCTCACAATTGATCCAACAGTATTCAAACAGGATGGTCTCAGAGGGAAGTGGCTACCAATCTTAACGTGTCATCAGCAGGTTGTAACAGAGAAATTGAAGGAGTCACAGAAAGGCATAGAAGTGGACATCTTTGGAGATTTTCATGAATCAAACACCTGTTCTGATTTTGGACGTTAATGTTCCTGTTAGAAAACAGCAAGTAGTGCAGAAAGTATCGGAACTTTGATCAGTTGGACAAGTGCATTCAAAACCCGGAAAGGTTGTAGCACCTTGTAGGTTCATCCTGAAATTTCACCCCAAAGCTGAATATCCCTAACCTTTTTGGAGAGTTGTGTTGTGTTGTGTTATGTACTGATAATCAGCAGAGACGTTATGCAAAATGTTGCACTGGTTATTTTTACCACGGGGATTTTAACATGCTCTTGATGGATATTATCTTCCAGTAGTTTGGATCTTACAGATAAATTCATTAAATATACAACTAAAGATGAAATATACGGCCACAACTTGAAGAGCATTTACACAATCTAATAGAGTCGTGATTCCCAAGTTTTGTACCATCGCACATTAGCGTCATATCGTGACAGGTTGAACAATTAAATATGCTTCCACTGAATGGTAGAAGGGGCAATTAATTAACCCAGTGGTCCCCAAACTTTTTTGTGTCACGGATCGGTGGAGACAAGTACATGCTGTTCGCAGAACGGCAGCCTTTTTTTTTCATCGCTTTTAAATTGCCAGTTTTAAAGCACTGCTACTGACAACAAAGATCACACTGACTGAATTTGTGAGTCAAATTAAATGAAAACATCGATAATTCCGTATACAGTCTATACTTGTTGCAACATTTTTGTTTGGTGGTGTGCCGTGAAATTTTTCTAAAGTAAAATAATGTGCCTTGGCTCAATGGGCCTGAATGTTGGGAAAGACTAAAAGAAGATTCTTACTTTACACGTCAAGCCAACATACATAGCACAGTCCATATTTAACATGGACATTAAAACGAGAACATAAAAACAACTAAATATAATCCTGCAATATTTTTTTTCAAGACTAAATTCATTCCTCTCCGATATCAAGCGTCATTATCAGGAACTGTCTGTCGAGCTCTTGCAATGAATCTTATTAGATAGCACAAGTGTTCCTCACATTGTGGCCGGTCAGTGTGTGTCGATCTCAATTGTATTGTATATTTTCTAACATAATGGATAGGCTACTCACATTCCATTCTGCCCTGCTAACTTATGCAAGAGAAGGAAGATGTTTGTCAAGCTGACGTCATATTCACGAGGCTCATGTCACTCTGCACCCTTGCGGTGGCTTTTTTTTTTTTTTTTGTTGATGAAATTCAGAGAAAAGGTGAGACAGCAGACGATACAGTAGCGGTGTGAGGGACACCAGGGCAGAGAGAGGGCAGCGCAAGCATGGCGAGTGGCGTGAAATGCAGGACACGTGGGGGAGGATAGGACACGCATCAAATACAAAAAAAAAAAAAAAAAGCCACAGAGGCTTTACTGTACAATCAGTAGATAATTATGAATTTAAATTTAAGAAAAACAACAGGTCCGATTCTCTCTTGAATGTGCTACTTCACAACTTTATAATGATGTCTTCTGGTGCTATGCTCGTCTGTTTCTCATAAGTTGAAAATTACAATGGGTGCTTTAATTAAACACAAACAATTGGTGAAGTGATGGATGAAGTGATGGCTACTGTATACATCTCTGTTTCATTCAATGAAGATGTCCTTAATGCCAATTTTTTCTTTTCTTTTTTTTAGATCATAACCAAATGACCAAAGTAAAAAAAAGTACTGTCCGTTGCCGGGACTGCAGACTGGAACCGAAGGTCCTGTCAAGTTAAATTGACAAAGATGGCACAGTGTTGAGATGTATTTGTAAAAATCAAAAGTAAAAATGGAAAAGAAAAGAAAAACTGAGAAAGAGAAACTTTTTCTCTCAGCTTACATCATCAACAGTCTTCCCGGTCCAGGCTCAGCAAGTGAATTTCATCAGCTCTGGTTTGCTCAACATATCTCTTCAGAGCGACTTTAATGTATTATGCAGGGCCAGAATGACAAGTTTGCCGAAATAATTCATGATGGAATTCAAAAAAAATGATGATCAGGGTTTGGTGAGTTGCCCTTGAAGGCTGAAGGCCATCGGAAAAGAAGCGCCTGATTGTCTTTGTTTTTATACTTTGCCACAATTGATTTGAAATAAGACCTACGAAATGTGTTTCGAATATGGCACTTAGCTTTCACGAATGACCGACTATGACCGTTTGCGGCTTGGGATTTATTTGATTTTTTGTGGACCACGTCATTGAATTACATATTTTCAGAGACAGGCGTAGAAACAAATGAAAATAAATCTCAGGGTCACCATTATGCTAATTGTAGTTGTTGTCATTCGTAAGAGACCTTGACACATTTCTCTTCAATAAACTGGCCAGTCTCATGTTGCGTTCGAGATCATAGCGCGTTATAAGACAGGACATGATCAGGAAGCTCAAAATTTTTTTTTCGCATTTCCATGTTGAACTGTTGATATTTCGATTGTGCTTTGATTGTACTTCACGATAGTCTTTAAGTCGAGCGCCGATCGGGATAGTGGAAGCCAGCCAAGCTACTGGCAAACCCGCTGCTCTTCAACAACCAGTTTATTTTTTGTACTACTGGACATGCAAAGACTTATTTTGGCCGAACATTTTTGCTGCTGTTAGTCGGGTCATGGCAGTAGGCGGTCGAGTCAAAGGGCCTCTCTGAATTGGCCGCTTGGGAAGAGGAGATGCCGTAAACAAGCGAATAGCAACTTGTCGGCCTCAAGTGTTGAACGCTGATGTGGAGCCGTAAAGTCGACTCGTCGACTAGTCGGTTCAACCCCTAAATGTGGTGTTCTTTGGATCATGAGTGTTCCTCTGTTCTTTACTTCAGTTGATTTTTTTTAAGCGTCCTCTGCTCCGGTAATCCAGGCTAAAATATTGATTTGCAATGTAATGGCACCTATCGGGAGCTGCCAACTCAATAACTGAAAAGTATCTGGTTTATTTTGCATGAATGGGAGTACACTAAATTCCTGTACAGCGTGAACGTCATACTTTTGTGGAACATTTTAAATCAGGGGTGTCAAACTCATTTTTGTCGCGGGCCACATTTTAGTTAGCCTTTCACTTGGAGGGCCGTTATGACTGAAACCATATAAAGAAGTCAAGAATAACTGTTGATTCAACGATTGTTTAAGTTGCTATCATGAGGGGTTTGGTAAAAAGTATATGCTTAGAATATATCTCTTATTTATTACATGTGAGAATTTGAAATTCGACATTTTAGAAAGGATCATGGAAGTTGTTGACATGTTTGAGCTGCTTTCGCGGGCCACATAAAATGATGTGGCGGGCCAGATCTGGCCCCCGGGCCTTGAGTTTGACACCTGTGTTTTAAATGAAAGCTGAATTTTTACCCCTAAACCTCATCTTGATTGGTTTTATTTCAAATCGAATGTGGCGCCGCATAAAGGCAAAACTCATTGTCCAAAAAGCTCCGCGCCGACTATGTCTTGACGTTGTGTTGGCGGGAGCGCCGATGGTCTTTATTTTTTTCCCCAAAAAATTGGCTAGCCGGAATCGATAGAATTTCGGGAGCCAGGTAAAAAAAAGCAAATCGAAGCACACGCACAGCACACAAATCACATGGCATCTCTGACAGCATCACAATGTCTGTTCAAGGCCCACAATGCCATTTGACCATGCACATTAGCAATGAAGTGTCATTCAAAATAGGTCATGTGATCAAGTCAAAAGAAATGAAGAAAAATCAATCAAAGAATATACCTGCAAATACTGCATTTTATCTTCCTGCTGTTCCCTCACTGGATACCCTTGCGGGACCCCCCTTTCTAAGGTTGAGAACTCATACTTGGCATTACGGTCTACGGTCACGATTTCAGGCGCTGAGCTATAGTCATATGGTCTGTCAAATATTAAGTCGACATGAATTCCTCCATCTTGGCTGTTTTCTACAAAGTGCAGAAAAGCACGAGCGTCAGGGTTAGATAGCAACGGACTCACAAGACAGACAGACACACAAACGAAGAGATAATAGAGACAAGTTCAATTGCTTCCTGATTTGGTTTGCCTTTTGGTTTGACTTTGTCCGGCGAAACCGACTTGAGATCAAAATGGCTTTCTCTTTAAATGCTTTCTGAATGCAGAAATCAACACAAATAAGAGGAGAAAAAAAAAATAATCCCCATCCACGGTCCCAATTGGAGCAGTCAAGTTAATTTAGGATGTGTTGAGCTTGACTATAAAATGCTGCATTTGAGGGAAAACTGTGACAAAGGGATGAAAAGAGAGCAGATCGTTTGCACAGGCAGGTGGGCATGCAAGTCAGCAGCTTCGTAATAAAAAAAAAATTTAAAAAAGAAAGAAAGAAAAAAAAAACCAACAGTAAACAGTCCTTATACATACAACTGTGATGAGTTATACATGGCAAGCCCTCTGGAAAAAGAAAGCAGAGAACTGGAGGTGTTAATTATCACACAAAATATTGGCTACCCGGTGTTTGTTCCATGACCCCTGACTGGACAACATGCACTTCTCATGAAAGGACACCAGGGGGCGCACATGTTTGAGAGGTGAGGGAAATAAAGGGCGGAGAGGGGGTGGGGAGATTGTGGAGGATGCAAATTCACTTTAACCATCAGACAAAATACTGATATGCATAAGTTTAGCCCACACCATTAAAAAAAAAAAAAAAAAAAAAAAAGATTATAATATGACCCAAACGACCTCAACCCGATTTTGTCAGTGTCAGTCCGACTTAAAAAAAAATGAAATAAGAATAAACTCCTAACTAGGTCAGCGTTGCATCCAGAAAAACTAAACTTGGGGAATCTCTTTTCTTTGACGTGAGGGTAATCTGACCATGATGATGGCATCCAAATGCTTTTCTGCTTCCTTCCAAATTAAACGGGAGCCATTTATTTTATCGTCCTGCTGTTGTGGGCCAAAATGACCCATCTTAAGTGCAATGGAGTGAACAAAGTGCTGCGAGGTAAATATGGCCTTTGAATTGCAACCACTCCCTTTTTTTCTTTTTTTTTTTTGGGACACGGTGCTCATTTTACAGCAGTACATACGAGCACATTCCGACTGAGTAAATAGACACTTAAAAGTGTAGATCACGCGATAATATGGATTTCAGGGGGAAATTTAAAAATGTATTTATTTCAGGACTGTATTCTCGGGCAAAGAGTATAATCGTCTTTGTTGGCTAGTCACACGCTGCTGCCTCTGTCGGCCTCTCCCAGTCACAGGGACTTCATCCAGAGAGTCCTATTGGAATTTATCAGGAACAGAACAACTTTTATGCACAAAAAAAGGCTGACGGCTGTGTGTTAATGTAGCCTAAACATCCAACATGAGCTTTCTACGCACCTTCTTTTCCTTTTCTACAATACTACTACCATCATCAAATTCCCCTTGATGCAAAGAAAGTCGCCTTTCGTGATTATTTACCAGCGAGATATCCCCAAAGTTAAAAGTACTTTTAAAAATTCCATTTAAATTCCAGCTATCACATGGACATGATTACACGTGGCGCTTAAACCCCCTTACCAAAGCGTAAGAACACATAAAAATAAAATTGACCAAAGAATAAAAAATTAGCAAAAGAAAAAAAAAAACAGTGGCTGACACAAGCAGTGAAAACAGTTTTGGATAATCTACATGGCCATGAACAAAAACAAAACAAAAAACATTTCGGTGATGAGACAGCCATGGTATTGGGTCAGGAGAAAGGAGTGAAAAAAGGATGTTGGGAAGGTGCGGGTGTGGGGGGTGGAGAGAAGACTTGACTGCGGGGGAGGCGGGCTTACCCTCGTCCACCTCGTCATTGGACATGATGGCCACGCACTTGTCCCACACCAAGCGGATGTCGGCCCGATAGCGGTCACAGGCCCACAGGAACATGGGCAACAAGATGGACTGCACAATGGAGCACCAGAGCACACACACAACCATCCAGTTGTATGAGCGGTCGAACTTGAGACTGGCAAAGCTCACCACCTGGGCAGAACGAGACGTTTAAAAAAAGAGAAAAAAAAAAAAACTTTATAACATGATGGATTCAAAATTCCTTGTTAATGTTCAAAACTACTGAGCATTGTCTTGGGACTTTGGTTATCACAGTCTCGTGCGTTTTCTCACCATGCTAGCACGCGTTTTCTCAGGGTACGCCGACTTTCACCCACGGATCAAAAGCATGCATGGTAAATGCACCAAAGAGAGAATGTGAGCGTAAATGTTGCTTTTGTCTACATGCGCCCCGCCATTGGCTGTTGCCCAGCTGGGATAGGCTGCAGTTCACTCACGACTATAATGAGGATAAGTGCAAGAGAAAATGGATGGATGGATGGATAATCAGGAACTGCCACATGGATTTTGAAAATGGAACGTGCATTGTCCCGATTGCAGTCTGACAGTACAATGACTTCCGACTAGGTGAGTGAGTAACGAGTGCCGATGACAAGTGTGTTTTTCTTATAGTGCTGTCGTGAGAGGCTGACAGCACTTTACCCCTCTTCACTGGAGTATGAATAAAACTCGGATGCTTCTCAGCGGTATCACATGTGCATTGATATAACTTATTCCGATTGAAATGACAACTTTTTATTCCAAAATATAGTGCTTGATCACACACTGGCGCCCCCCCCCCCTCCCAAAAAAAAAAAAAACAACTTGCGCACAGGTCAACAAAACTGAGGGAATGCAGTAATCCGGTCACAATTATACAGACAGTCATCTTAACCTAAACCATATGACAAACGCACATTTGACAAGCAAATGGTGACAACAAGCCCCGGAACATTCTCTGAATACGGGCTTAGTCGTCTGGCTTTTTGCATCAAATGTAAGCAGTCTTAAGCTTGCTACACGCTCTCAGTTCTGCCTGCAAACATGATGAATCGACTTGTGAAAAATGAATGAGAGCCCGGGGCTGGAATTTGCAAGCCAAATGGTGACAGGCTGAAAGAAGGGCTTGCTCCTTCATTCGTTGACAAGGAGCTTCAAGGACTCGTGTTCCCACAAAGATGTGGATAGTGACATGCTTGTTGTGAAAGAGGGGAGATCACCCGTGCATTCCTAAACGATCTTTGCTCCCTTTAATGGGCCCACACACTCACTATCTGACTTCATGGAAAAATACAGCCATCATCCATAAGCACTGAGCCTGGCCTACTTTTCGGATGTGGACCAGGAGGAACACTTTGGTTTATGTAAATAATATAGCAGCATGGCATGTTTCCACATCGGGGTGTTATGTGGAATGATTAGTTCCAGTCGTCCCGTTGAATTTCTTTCCAAGCAAACCCCAAACACAATGAACGGTGAGCTATGAAGCGATGGTGAAATGGAAAAGGGAACTTTCGACCTCAAATTATGTTATCATCATTCCACCGTCGGTTTTATTGGTTATGCCGTTGTCAAGAGGGTTGACAGTTGTCAAGAGTAAAATGATGCAAAGGCCAAGTGAAGTCAAAATGTGAAACGAGCCTCCGGCGGGTCGCGACGGACACCGACGTGCCAATTGCTGTGTTGCACGCATCTCAAGGCCACGCCGTACATCACACAATCTTTTGCTGAAGATCAAAGACATGTTTTAGGAGCAAAATGATTGGCATTTTCATGCGGTCGACTCACCAGTATGGGGAAGCCGGTGAGAAAGTCATAGATGAAGACAATACCGCTGATCAGGTAAGTGATCTGCAGTGAAGTCTTGAGAGGTTCCGAGCCATCGATGGAGGACCTGCGCTTGCCCTGAGCGTCCTCCACCACAATGGTGGGGACGTTGAACTTGTTCTTGTCCGCTTTGTGGCCTGCCTGAATGGAGAAGGTCTGGAAGAGAGCAATGCCGATGCAGATCACACCCATGGTCACGCTACCGCCAATCAAGAGCAGGAAGCAAACCCCAAACCCCAGGCCGATCTCTGTCACAATGAATCGGCAGTCGGAGGTGTAGAAGCGGTCGATTGTGTCGTGCCAGCCCACTGCTGGGAGTGTGGACAGGATGAAAGAGACCATCCAGATCCCCATCACCGTGTGCACCGCCTGCTTCTTGGTGTTGCTCAACCTGGAAACACAAATACACAATTTAGAACAGGAAACACGAATCAGCCCACAAAAAAACAACAACACACGGCTGCCCCTTGACTTACGAGCAACCCCCCTTCCTATTTGCTTTGACTTGCGAGCAACCGTTCACGACACAAACGCTAGACGGCGGCAGCAATCTCAACTCAGCTCACTTCCCATTAAGCAGCAGTTTGTCAGAGAGTGAACAATTCTCTAAAAAAGAGGCTTGAGACTGTTGACTGACACAACCAGTTCAGAGTTTACTGCCAAACTAAACATAAAGAGAACTAAAACAACCATATGACTGTCCCTTTAAGTCCACCAGCTTAATGTTCACGGTAAATGCCAATGATGGGCTAAAAAAAAATCACATAATATCATGATACTCACAGGCATATTTTCTTTATCTTCACCCCCCAAAAAAAGTGTCATCTTACTACTTGAAAAAGTAACTCAGTTATTACAAATTACTTCCAGGGGTGTCAAACTCATTTTTGTCGCGGGCCACATTGTAGTTACGGTTTCCCTTGGAGGGCTGTTATGAATTTTGGGAAACCATATAAAAGTTTAACCACCTCCACGTTTACATACACTGTGAACAACAAATTGATAACTAGTTTAGACATCAGAAGTCAAGAATAATGGATTGTTCAAATATTGTAATTATTACATTATATATGACCATTTGAAATTTTGGTTCAGACTTTAGCAAGCATCACGGAAGTTGACATGCTTGAATTGTTTTGTGGGCCACATAAAATGATGTGGCGGACCAGATCTGGCCCCCGGGCTTTGACTTGGACACCTGTCCTTTTTTTTTTTTTGGCCTCTTTGGTGAACTAGAAGTGCATTTTAACAGTGATGTTGACGAATAAATATTGTTTTTAGTAAAAATAAAATAAAGACAACCTTTTTTGACTTAACGTGATTTTTTAATTTTTTTTATTTGAAAAATGTGTCTTTTCCGGATTTCACTTGCCATAAATGGACTACTTTTTATGATTAAAAACAATAGAATAGACAGTCATTCTAGACTTCACTGAACATCTTTTTTTAACTGACATTTATCATGTTCATTGTTTATAAAAACGATGACATTTGGGAGCGTCCTGCAGTCACACATTATGCTGGGACTTTCTCTTTAAGCTTGAATGCATACCGTGCTGGGAATATGTTATTGTTTTTTGGTTTTGTTTTTTTAACGTTGAATTTTTTAAGCTAGATAACACTTTGAGAGCACAGCGTGTGCAACAAACCTTAATATTTTTGTCTTTAGCTGACACAAATTCAAAATATAGTGACTTGTATTTCCAGTTTTTGATGTCACGTCCTTTGGATTTTCAGCCTAGGCTGGTATGTTTTTTTGTTTTTTGCTTTGACTTGCAGGCAAAAATGTGTGGTGGCCGTGAACTCAACTCACTTCACTCCAAGCAGCAGAGCAATTCTTCCAAAAAAAAAAAAAAAAAATAGAGAGGCTTCAAGTTGTTTATTGTCACTCCCGGTTGAGGTTTACTGTCAGATTAAATATAAAACAAAGAGAATTCTACTTTGTGTATTTAAAACGACCACATAACTTTGCCTTCAAGTATGCTCTGTTAATACTGTTACAGAGTTAATGAATAGCATCGGCGTGGCAGTTCCTACTTTGTATTTGGCTCCTTGATCTGAATTGGCCGCAAGGCTGATGGAGAGTGATGTGCACCAAGGGGGTGTGGCTTTAATTTACTTTGTGTGCGTAGAATTGAGGGTACATTTGTTTTGCATTAGTACAGAACTCACCACATTCCTTCAGCAGAACAGGAATAAATGTTGCATGTCTGATATTTGCACTTGCCAAAATCCACCAAAACATCAACAAAGATACACCCCCCAAAAAATTAAAATATTGTTGTTTCCATGTCCTAATCCATTTTTAAAGGATTATTTCACATACATGGTCGCAAAATGAAGGGCAGCAGTAGCTTCTGCAGCTTTGTGCAAAGACTAAGGAGGTCTTGTTGTCATTATGAGCAAAAAAAAAAAAAAAAAAAATGCTAGCCTTTCCTCAACATGCCAACAGTTCCTATAGCGGTGAGAACGCATCACTAAGCAGCTTGAATCTATTGCGTGAATGAGCGTCGCAAAGGGCAGCGGACGCTGTGAGAGAGCAGCAGCACACCACGACAAGGTTGAAATTCATTATTCAGGCTGTCAGTGTATGTTAATGTCAGAGACAAGGCAGCCATACTAGCTAGCTCAGCTGGGCAAATATGGAACCGCTGGAATGAAAAACGAACGTTTCCCCACACGGCGTTTTTACTGTTCTACAATTCTGTTGTTACAAGTAAGTGAATACTGAAAGGAAATGGCGAGTACAATGCCAAAGAGAAGGGAAGTGAAAAGCGGCTCTGATGGGTGTGATTGGGACAAATTCATGAAATTTAGTTGACAATACACCAGCTAGTCACGTCGGTGAGCCTGGTTTTGATTAACAGTCAGCAATTCATAATTAATTGTACAATGTTTATTATTTTCACAGTGGTGTAAAATAGCTCATGTGAGCTGTTCATCTTTTGACTGAACAAGGAAACCAGCATATTTGATGATACAGGTGTACAATGTACACCGCTGCAAAGTACACTCCCAAAAATAAACACATTGTCAAAGGCCCAGTGGCGTAAAAATGAGCGCTTTCAAAATTTGACACACAAACAGAGAGGAATGTTGTAAATATCTTGCATCTGTCCTATGCCTAAATGTTCGAGCTGCAAAAATATATGCGCTTAAAGCCAACAGTGGTTGAAATGTATGTCGCAAAGGCCTTCCAAGTCTTTCCATGCTGCGAAAAAAGGCGCTAGTTAACGGGCTTCTTCTAGGGCTCCCATCGGCCGGCAGACGGGTGGCGGGCTCGTTAAAATAGAGACATTGAGCTGTTATGTAATTTGTGGCATCGAGGGTTTAGGCATGGATGGCGAGTTAACCGCTTTCTGTCGTGGTAGAGATGGATATACAGTGGTACTTCAACTTACAAAATTAATTGGTTCTGGAAGACATTTCTAGAAACTAGAAAAATTTGTAAGCAGAGACACGTTTTCCATGTAAATGCCCTAATCCGTTCCAAGCCCCCACAAAATTCAGACATAAATGTTTTCTAACGCATAAAAATGCCTCAAAATATGTAACAAATACATGTTACAATTAGATTATTGAACAATAAATGAGAGTTGTGCATCATGTAAAAAACAAAGAATAAACAATAAAAATGGTGGTCGTTTAACTTTTAACTGCATCCTCATCGTTTTTTTTGCCCTCTTTAGTTCATGTTCTCTCTCAGAAGTGGTTTTTGCCTGGCGTTTTGTAAAGAACTGATCCAAGGACATTTGCTTTTAACAATCTTTCTAAAATGTCCAAGGCAAATATCAGCGTAGTGAGCGATTGTCCGACTGGTGAACACTTTTTCTGGGTGATTCACAATTACGTAAAACTATCAGAACGTCTCATGGCCCAAGGGGCGAATGACGAGGACGCTGACGAGACACATATCTACCTATTTATCTATCTACACACATAGACACACTCGGTAGATGTCCCTCTTAGCCAATGGGATGCCAGGAAGATGCCAGGTAATAGCCAATGGCAGAGCAGCTATGAGTATGTTGCGTTCGGGAAACTCTGAGCTGCGAGTAGTAGCCCATACTGTATTTTTACCTTTCGTATCTTGAAATTACGTAACAAGAGGCGATATTTCCGGGTGAAGCGTTTCCTAACTTGAAAATTTCGCATGAAGAGACAGACGTTCGTAAGTAGAAGTACCACTGTCGTTATAATAACGACAGTACGTAACTCGCAATTGCGCTGGGTAACCACAGATGCTAACAAGGGCGCTCGGTTTTCATATCGTGGGGCGGGGCGGAATCACCCCATTTTAGCTAGACCCAAGAGTTCAGGACAATTGAAATGGTGAAAAAATGTTTCAAGCTACAGTACCGCTCCACAATTCAGTCTAACATAGTTCTCTGTCTTTTCACAAGGTTTCATATGTTCCAACTTGTATAACGCATTATAAGAAAATCTCCAAATTCACTTGATTGGGTCTTGAAATTACTCCCTCTCTGACCAAAACAAATGTAACTCTTGTGCTGGACTTGATTAGATTGTGCAGGTATGCCTAATGTTACGGCCAGTTCGTATCTAAAACACCAGCGTGTAAGTGTGATAGATTGCGAATTTGAGCATCTGTTTGTCTCCGCAGTGCTGCCAAATTGGCCAAGCTAACTGTAAATGCATCATGCCCGAAAGGCAAACTCATTCTTCGTTTCTCAGCATCGGACTAAGGGTGAGACGTCTCGATCATCACCACGTATCACCGCAACACTTTCTGCACATCTCACTCACCACACCGCAAGCTTGTCGCTCTGCAAAGCTCAATACCGAGTTCATAGGTGCTGCGTTTGTTGGCTACTGGACGGCGACCACAAAATGAGAATTTAAATCATCGTCATTTAACAGATGGTCTGCAGCAAACCAAAGCGCTTTGAGGCGTGCCTTCGGCGAGCTGTCTTCATCTGCGCCAATAGTTTCTAGCAGAGCAAAATGTTTCTATGTGAAGCAAAACAACACCCCAAAAAAATATCCTACGATAAACCATCTTAAAAAAATATGTCGTGTAAAAATACTTACAAATTTGGCCAAATGGGGGGAAAAAAAGGTCCTACTGCCTAAAAATGACCACCATAAAAGAAATCATCACGTATCCAAGCTAAAAATAGCAACCACATCTTATTGCAAAGCAAGCGTCGATGTGTGAACAGCAGATGTCTTGGGAGTCTTGCGAGGCCAAATTGTGTTACTGCAAGATCATGCTGTCTGCTCACGGGAATCTTTATTATTCAGTGTCACTTTGCTAATATCGCTTGTGGTTTGGAGCCAAATGGAGCCGAAGGCCAGAGCTGGCAGATGCTCCTTGTGGAATATTCTTCCATGGTGTGAACTCAAATAGAAGCATTGGCTGGAGAGGAGCGTCACCTAGTACAGACTGTGAACCCATCTGAGAAGATAATTCGTTCAGGACCATATCCCGCCATTCACACCCAAGTCTGTTTTGTTTCCCTCCACACAAAACAAAAAAAAAAAGAACAAGAAAAGGTGGCTCACCTGTAGTTGACAGGCCAGCGTACCATCCACATTCGGTGGTAAGAGAGCGAGGTGACGGAGAAGCAGGTGACCAGCGTGAGGGTGTAGAAGGTGGACACAAACACCTTACACAATCCCTCATTCCACTCGTAGTTGGAGTGCTGGCGGCGCAGCGTGATGACGCAGTACATGGTGATGGGGATGGCCATGTTGAGGATGTGCGTTCCAGCCAGCGTGCAGATGAGGAACTCCAGCGGCTTCCACTTCTTCTGCTTGGCGCTGACGCTGAGGATGCTCCACGTGTTGGCCAGGATGGACACTCCCGAGCAGACCAGCCAAGCCAACGTGTTGGCGTTGATGATGTCATCCACCATGTTGGAGACGGGCGGGGCACAGCCTTGGGGGCCGCAATGAACTGTTGGCGAGAGCGGAGGCGCGCGAGGACGAGGAGGAGGTGGCGGCGGCGGGCAGGAGGGGATGCAGGGCGTCGGCCGAGGCAGGCATCCTACATGGGCGGGCGTGCACTCTCCATGGGAAGTGCCACAGCACGGCGACGACACGACAGCGGGGCGACGCGGTGGGAGGTGAGCGGGGAGAGGGTGGCGGATCCGGGCTGGTTGCCTGGGAATCGGAAACAGAGCGGGGGCGGCCATGTCATCAAACGCCATTAGTCGGTCCAATTGAAACTAATCCTTCATCAGACATAATCCCTCTTCCCAGTCAACTAATTACGCGAATCATCACACTGTATTACAGTTAATACCGAAAGTCATTCATTGGGCGTCCTTCAAGCAGAAACAGTGATCAGTCAGCAGGGCTATTTTGAAAAGAGCCGCAAGCAACATCCAAGAATTAAGCTGCCAGTGTAGCAGTGGATCAGAAAAGTCCACACACCCTTGGTAAAATGCCAGGATATTGTGAGAAATCAAGTTAAAACTTTTTTTACACAACTGATGTGACCTGTTCACTCAATTAAAAAAAATAAATCTTTCCGAGATGTGAAGCTGTAATAAACACCTAAGATGATTTGGTAGAACAAGTGTAAATAAAGAGCTGGGATGTGGCTATATTCTGAATTAACCCATCACGTTCATAATCATGTCGAATTGGCGTCCGCACACACCTGCCACAATTAAGAGAGCCTCATTAACCACAAATAAAATTCAAATGTTCTAGTAGGCTTTTCCTGACATGTGTTTTGTTCTCTGACAGTGTTCGTGTTAGTGCTGACACTGACTGCTATTTCCAGAATTTCACAACTCCTTCCTTAGTGACATTTTGTTGAGGACACACAAAATGGCAAACATCCACAAATGAAGTCATTGTACAAATAACACAACATAGTTATTTGAAAGGGCTTCTTGATGTCGCAGTAAAATATAAAAATAAAATAAAGAATAATAATCATATTTGCCCGTGTTCATATCACTGCAAACTGAGCATATTTTCATTTGCACCGCAGCTAAATCACAGATACTTAAGCGTTTATGAAAATATCGTTTATGAGCCACGGGCGCGAACGGGGCACAGCAAAACGGAATAAAAACCTTGTCACAACAAGCTATTAAAGATCATGCACATACTGTAAATATTACTGCTGGTGAGAGTCTACTTTTACAGCACCATTTACGACGCAACACGAGCCAAAGCACCGGAAGAAATAGAATGATGTTCTTCCCACTGCGGGGTGAAAAATGCTCGCCACACAGCCAGGGCATGTTGTCACATTCATTCTCTGTCTTTTGGCGTGTCCAAACACTCTTGTGCTGCGGGCTGTGGGCAGTACCCCTGAGAGGGGACACTGACAATGACCTCATCAGCATCATCATCATCATCATCATCATCACCACAACCAGCGCTTGCACAAGAGAGTCGCTGATGGTGTCGTGGTTCATTTGCCAGACCTCCGTGCAGGCGAGCGGCGTGGGTTCAGTTCCCACTCAGTGACAGTGAGTGTAAATGGTTGTCTGTCTCAATGTGCTCTGGTGATTAACTTGGCGACCGGTCCAGGGTGTAGTCTGGGAACGTCAGCTGGGTAAGGCCTCAGTTACCCATGACCTTGAATGGGAAAAGTGAAAAAAATGGAAGCCTGGATGGCAAAAACAAAACAAAATTAATGTACATGGTTTACACTTTCTGTTTGATGTGCTTCCAGAATTGCCAATTCATGTTCAAACGTAGACAACAAATTGTGGGCTTTTTTTCTCGGCACAATTTGTGAGACAAAATTCACTTGCACCCTGAAGCCTTATTTTAAAAAAAAAAAAATGTCATACAGCAGTCACCATCTGGTGTTGCATTACAAAATGTGGGGCACCAGATAGCAGACAATGGACACAGAAAAAGTGATAAACGGGGTCAAAAATTTTTTTACACATTTTTTTTTTGCGCTTATTCCAAATCTGCCCTTGTTTTTTTTCTCTAGCTCATCTGATTTCCATAATCATCATCAGCATCATTCAGAAAATGTGAAAGAACAACTCAACATCGACTATCAACACCCACTACTTGAAATGATGTTACCGTCACTTCAAAATGCATCCATCGCCTTTAAAAGCAAACAAACAAGCCACAGCTGGATAACGCAGGATTAAGTTCATTAAATATTTTCATAAAAATATTTCCCCTTGCTGAAAAGCTGAGCCTCAAAACAAACATGAAATTGTATAGTTCTGACCAAACGAGATTTTTTTAAAAAAGGCACTTGACCAATATTCGCGATGGAGACGATCAAAGCAAACTCCCGCATCGTGTTAAAATACGATCACAAAGCATTCCAAACCAAGCAAGGTCTGTAAAAAAAATTCCGTCTTTGATCCAGAGGTCCCCAGGTGCTTGGGAGAGCGAGGTGCTCTTCCACAGTTTGAACCAAATGCAGAAATTCTGTTTTACAAGCATAGCAAAAGTATCAAAATAACCCTACAAAGACTCCCCTTTAACTTAGCTTGTTAAGGATTGTTTATGATGGACGTAGGTGAATGGAAATATGATGTACCTTTAATTGAAAAATATATACTCAGGGCTAATTTTTGGAGAGTGACACTGTATTCTTTTCGTAACCTTGAGGGGCAGTTATTATATCAGTGAATTGTTATCATAGCTGACTTTTATGAAGCTGGCATGGGATCAATTCTTCCCCCAAATGATTTCAGCGCAATTCCCTTTTGCTCTCATGAACAGGGACAGACTCTATTGGACAGTATAAGCAATACAGAACATGCTTGGATGAATAGAGGGAGCCAAATATTTTGCCACCTTCAAGAAGGAACGCTGACAATTACAAGACTTTCTCTCTCCAACTTCAAGGGCCCGAATGATAAGAGAGACGCATGGAGTCACCGAGAACAGACGGTCTTTGCGAAGAATGACTTGCAGAGAAAAGACGCTGTTAATTCATGTTTCGACCTGATGAAATATGCGGGAACAACCTACTTGTCAACATGCCATATGGGGAGGTCTCTGACATGTGCTGGTAGAACAAGTGCATTTATTCAATTAGCTCTGGTGGGCTACAGCTTGACCTGAAATTATTTCTGCCCAAATTAAGAGCTTCAAAAATGATGAATTCTATTTCTATGGAGTCCTAGATACAAAAATCTTGAAAGCGCTGGCTGACGTTACTTATGACAAGTCAAACCACCAACCATATTCTGTATTTTACCTAGCAGTGCACAAAACGGCTGTTGGTGTATTTTATTTTTTATTTTTTGAACAAGGCACCATTAGCAGTGACTAGAGATAATACTAACACGAACTCTTGCTCTCCTACAGGAAATTCCATTTAAAGCCCCTTAAATGAGATTTATTAAATGACACATTTACTGACAATCTGTACGAATTTGAATTTTTTTTTTTCCCCGATTAGGCTTTATTATTTGGAGTGTCTAAAAGATTATCCAGAGTGATTGTAAAAAGTAACTTTTTTTTTCTCCTCCCTCAAACTGTCAGGTTGACAATTCCAAATGTTAAACTCTCTCAATATTTACAATCACAAATCTTAATGCGTGCGTTCAATACAGAGGACTTTGTGAATGTGATGTGAAACGGGCGGTAGTTAACACGGTAAAAATGACAAAGGGGAGGGTTTGCAACTGCCATTGTGTGTACTGACGAGACAAGCAACAACTCATTCTTCTTTTTGTCATTTCAGGTAGTCTGGACTTCCCTGTGCCAACATGCTGCCTCTCACAGGACAATCTTGGTACTACAACAGACACCTGATTTTTTTTAGGGGAGGAGACTCCCAATTCTCGGTTGGAGATCTCGTTATGTGTGTTCATCTCGAGTACACTACGGGCTGTAACAGCAGTAAATGGCCATTTTCATTCATCCTGTGTGGGGTTGCTCACATTTTGTTTAAATAAAACCTGCTAAAATATGATGTAATATTATAGATCAAAACGTGTGTACCTTCCTTTAGAGCAGGGGCCCCCAACCTTTTTTGCCCCACGGACCGGTTTATGTCAGACAATATTTTCAGGGACCGGCATTTAAGGTGTGGCGGAAATAATACAACAAAATAATATGGTATGAGCTGCATGAAAACTGTGGTGTTTTCGAAATATCATAATAAACACAAGGAGCGTCTAATCTCGCCGCAACACTCCGATCGCTGTGGCAATGTTTAATGCCTTCAAAATACGATACAACGCAAATTCAAAGTGCATGAAAATGACGACTCACCACAGCACCGAGCTTGATTTTCTGCAACCAGACGGTCCCATCTCGGGGTAATAGGAGAGACAATGACACCTCAAGTGCGATCTCCAGCAGTTTTTTTACTCATTTTGCGAGCTCCGGTGTTTGTTTTTAGCCTAATTGGTCACGTTACGGAGAAGCGTGGCTTGACGTGTGTCAAGCTGGACACAGACGGATGTAAAGGAGAATCCGGTAATTTTTCAAAATAAAACATCTTTCGTATTCCGAAATAAATAAAACGGAATTAAGGCAAGTTCTTTCTGTGCGGCCCGGTACCAAATGCCCGGCGGACCGGTACCGGTCCGCGGACCGGCGGTTGGGGACCCCTGCTTTAGAGAGCCTGTCCGAGATGGGATTTATGCAACACAGGATTTAAGGGGAGCCAAAAACGCATATATTGTAAAATACTGTGCAAAGTGCAGTTTTTTTTTTTGCCAGCGATCAGATGTGCTTTAAAATGTTTTAATAGACGATAAAACAAGACTGCATTGTGTTGCCAGCTGGAAGAATCTGAATTACCAGAGACATTTTGTGGCTGTTGAGGGGATAATTACCAACTATTTAAGAGTGTACTACAACGATACTTCAATGCCTTGAAAGAAGAGTGAGATTGCAGGTATTCATGGGGTGCAGTGTCCCCACCCCCCCCCCCCCACACACACACACACACACACACACACACGGACACAGAAGAGCTCTCCTTCACAGGAGAAGGGATTAGGTCGTCACTCAGAGGTCACCACACAATCAATCTGGTGCTCATTAGCTTGTTATCAGAGTCCAGCAGAGGCGCCTTCATGCAGAACCAAGCGTATGCAGGACCCGCTTGTTAACCCGCTGTCCCACAAATAGACTAACAGGGGCTGAAGGGCATGATATGGGGAGGTTTTCTGCAACTCTTGCTCCCTACAGTTTGCATAA